AGATCTGGGTATCAATCCATTCATGTATAAAACAAAGTGACACAATATTGGCCAAAGTAAATGTTAATAAAACTTGAATGAGAGAAAATGAAGGTGAAATGAACAAAGAAGTTGTGATAAAGATGCTGGGGAGTATTTCTTTATCACTATGTAATTGTCTTCCTTCTCACAGAGGTTAATTGTAAGAAAAATAACAAAAACTGAAGTCTTTGGAAATATAAAAGCATATATAATAAAAATATAATATTTTACATAGGAAAAAGATTGCTAAACTAATCTAACTTTATACTTAATCTCAAAACAATAGTATGGGGGCCTCCCTGGTGGCGCAGCGGTTGAGCGCTGGGTTGTGAAGCTGCCCTCAGCCTCTGCAGCGCCGGTTCAATCCCCAGCTGCTCCCCGGCCACCGGAGGAGGGTCCCACATGGCGCGCAGACCTCTCCTGCCGCCTGCTGCTCCCCTCAGCAGTGTACTTCGGTCCTTCTGCCTGCTCTGCTCCCTGCTCTGGCTCTGGCTCTGGTGAATTCTCTCACCCTTCCGTGCTTCTGACTGTACCCAGTGCTTGTATAAATAAATAAATCTTTAAAAAAAAAAAAAAAAACAATAGTATGGAAGAGTAGTAGAGCCCACATACCTGGGCTCTACTATTTATTTAATTTAAAACTTTTTTCGCATTTATGTTTAAGTGTCCAAAACTTGATATGCTATTACAGTTAAAATATTAATACTGACTTTGCATTTTTGGATGATAAGTTCTGTGGACTTCTAGTAAGTCCTGGACCTGGGACATGATGGTGATGAGGGAAATCAGACATGGGGGACTGTCATGTCCAGCATGCAGTAAATCTTTATTGTCTTAGTGCTCATTAAATACTACTTTAAGTACAGCAGGTGTAACATCAAGGCATACCATACAATGACAATACATATGAATGATTAGTCTACTTTCTTACTATTATCTATCCACTTCAGACAGTAAGGTACCAGGTGGTTAGTTCTCACGCACATAATCTTAGCACCCCCTAGCTAGAACTTGGGAAGTTTGCTCATTATTTTTGTTACTCTAAGACTGTGGAGATGTAGAGGCCTGACTCCATACAGATCACATTCCGGGCACTCAACACCAGGTCCTGTCAGTCAGAGGTTTTCCTCTAAGGCGCATGTGTTTTCACATGCCTTAGGCACTCAGATCAAGGCCCTTCTGCTCATTGCGTGGGGACTCTCCCAACAATGTTCTAAAATTTACATGCATTATCTGAACTAACATCACAAAAAAGAATTTTGAAATGTATTACCTACTCCTTTTCAAAGATGAAGAAACCGATTAAAGTGATTATACAGCTAGCCCATATCATTATACTCCTGAGGACATAACACAAACTCAGGACACGTTAATGTCAAAGTACATGCTTTTAACCAACATATTGTTTTATTGTCAGTACAGGAATATTTAAAATTAATCATCACAAATGGAAAAAAAAAGCACTTCTTTCTTTTCTTTTAATGATGTGAACTGTGGTATCCACCAAAAATTATGTGCAAAAACTTCATAACAGAATTATAAATGTACAAAAGACAGTCTATAAATTTGTAACAATAGGGCCTCCCCGGTGGCGCAGCAGGTTGAGCGCAGCGCTGTGAGGCTGTCTATAGCCTCTGCAGTGCGGGTTCAATTCCCAGCTGGCCAGGGAGATACCCACATGGCATGGCAGACCCCTCCTGTCTCGCCCACTGCTCCCCTCAGCAGTGCTTTTGGTCTGTCTGCCTGTTCTGTTCCCCGCTCTGTCTCTGGTGAATCCTCTCACCCTCCTGTGCCTCTCGCCTGTAACCCAGCTCTTATATAAATAAATAAATCTTTTTAAAAAATTAAAAATAGATTTGTAACAATAGGATATATCCCTTGAGTAACACCTACTCAGAACCAAATAAAAACAAAGTAGTTCAGCTCATACACACACAAATATTGATACACTCTTCTGAAATCACCAAATACTTTGATGTACCTAACAAACAAAATCATTCACAAAAGTGAAGGAGGGGAAAAAATTACATGCTTATTCATCCAAGGAAAACACCAAGTTAATAACACACTGCTACAACAAAAGAATGTTATATTTTAACATCATCATATCAACAAGGACCAAGGAGGCAGGTGATAAAATATAAAACACTTAGGAGGTGAAGTTGTATAAATATTTGCTGACTTACAGGAGATGGACATTAAAAATAATGCTGAATGTCTATCTGAGAAGTATGAAATATATATGATTTTAGGTTGAAAAACAAAATATCAGGCAATAAGACACCAGCTTGTCAGAAGAAGAATGTGATTGTGACAACAATGTAAGATGTTACCTCAATTTTTAAAAAAAGATTAAAAAATTAAAAACCAAAGGAATTCCTTGCAAACAAGCAAAAAAACATGTAGTCCTGTACCCCGGTTCTTGTATAAATAAATCTTTTTTTAAAAAAAAGTAATTGAATAGTTAAAATGTTAAAAACTGTACCTAAAACTAAACATGACATTCTTGTAACATTCATCCTCAAAGAAGAATATTTGGGAAATGACATCTAAAAGAATAAATTTCTACACTAATAAAGAGAACTGACATCAAATAAAAGAACTTTCATAAAAGAAAATGCTTACTACTCACACGTCAGAGGCAGTAATTTGAAACTAATTGTACAATAATGACCCATAATATACCTCTAACATTTGACTAGAAGAACAAATATTTCAATATAAACAAGATTTTTCAGACAAGACTTCTTAAAATAATGTCTATATTTAAGATATTACAAAATATACTTAATTTTCTGATATATTTAATATACAGATAGCTCTGTCGGGTTCCTGAATGAATCCAGAAAAAATGGAGAAATATCTAAAGCCTCAACAGTGTAACAGAATTGTCATTACTTTAATAATGCTTATCTTACAGATCTATGTTAGGCCATCCCTGAGAACAAGGACAGTGATTTTCAACAAGTTATTTGCAAGAAGAGAATGAAAAAGGAATTTCAATGCATGTTGTTACTGAGGAGATCCTCACAGGCAAGGCCATTAGAGAAGAAAAGTAAGCAGACAGTTGTGTGCTCTCTACCAGAACCAGAACACAGCATGGCCAGGAGCAGACTGTTCAACAGAGCTGTCAGCGAGAGTAGAAACAATCTTCACCACTAAAGCAGTAAGTATTCACACATTGCTCTCTGAACATTTACAGTGTGGCCATCACGCAGCTGAATTTTATATTCCGATTTTAATTCACATAAACTTAAGGAGCTGCATGAGGCCGTCCACACTGTACTGGGCAGCATGGCGGTGGAGCGAGGATGGCAGCAGATTCAGACCCAGCTGAGGCAGAGGCGGCCTTCTGTGTATCCCAGGAGGCCTCATTGGCTGTGGCTTCCCAGCAGCTTCCAGACATCTATCACTGAGACTTTGCACCCAGCACCAATACTCAGAACAGTAGGGTTGGATGGGTGAAACGGGGAGCAAAGATCTGAGAGGGGAGCCAAGAGCACCCAAACTAAACAGTCTGATCACAAACCTGGGCAAGAATGGGAGGATGTGTGTAATGTACACTCCCACATCACATCCATGCAATCCCATAAAAATGTTATCATTTGCTTTATTCACCAATCAATTATAACTTACATCATATTTAATCTTCCTACTTTATTCCTCATCAAATTAGTACTTTCACTCAGTGGAAGCTGCATCACATCTCATTAGGAATAAATTAAAAACAAAGATGCACTGGCACACTATTCACAAAAAGGAGCTTCCTTGTTGTAACATCAAACCTAGTATTATGAAGAGTTTATTAATATTTCAAGTTTTTTTGTGCCTCCTTAAGGGAAAAATGAACATTTAAAAACTACAGAGAATGACAATTCCAAGACAAGAACAAATATTGACAAAACCACAGAAAGTAAGGAGACAAAGGGAAAGAACAGAAGTATCGATCTATCATCTAGTACTTAGACTTTTTACATTAAGACATATATTGGGGCCTCTCTGGTGGTACAGGGGTTAAAATATCAGCATTCTGAAGCTATCTGCAGCCAGAGAACTAACCCACATGGTGCAGCAGACCTCTCCTATCTCACCCGCTGCTCCCCTCAGCAGTGTATTTAGTCAATCTGCCTGTTCTGTTCCCCACTCTGTCTCTGGTGAATCCTCTCACCCCCCACACCTCTGGTCTGTACCCCAGCTCTTGTATGCATACACTCCACTCAGTTCTTATATCCATAAATAAATAAAAATAAATCCTTAAAAAAAAAAAGACATATACTAGTAGTTAACTCCCTAGAACTCCCAATTACCCTCTCTTCTATTATACCTAAATATGCTGTAATTAATTATCAAATGTGCATACTGAGGTGTAAGAAATGAACTAGAATAGAATGAAATGTCCAGATAAAATTGTTGGTTCCTAAAATGAACAAATAAATTTAGCTGTGCTATTTGGTGAATTTCTGTACATTCTTCCTTTTGCCACCTGACATATATGAAAACAATCTGGGGTTTTGTTTCAAGAACAATTTCTACTGAACATAAATTTGCCTATTCCTAAAGCAACTGAGACCAAGTTCCATTCCATTCACCTTTACTCACCTGCTCTGTGTGCCTAAGCTCATCCCCCTACCTCATTTCCAAGTTACACCTTTTAATGAGTGTGGGGTTTTGCTGCTTGGCTAGCAAATCAGAAGCAGGTTCAGTGCAGTGAGTGAGAGGCTGACGACCAGCTTTGGATTACGCAGAAACATTTCTTTTAGCAAGAAGATGCTTTCTCATGATGACCTCACATATCTTCAAGTGGCAGTAGGATCTGCCTCCCACCTCTGGTGTGAGAGGTAAAGGCAGGCAGTTTCCAGGGCTACTACAATTTCCTGAACCCAATGAACTGGCTAATTGACAGAGTTCCTCCTGGAAAACAGGAAGAAGTACTGTGAAACTCCCTATGACTGAGCTGCGTGGAGACCAGACCTGCTTACCTGGCGGAAGTCTCTGGGGCTGCATCTTCTATACTGTTAATTAGCTGATATCACCGAGCTGTCCAGAGTAACAATCCTCAGGGAAAATGAATATGGAGTAGAATGCCAGACAATTGCCAATCTGTCTCTTCTGTAATTTCACACATTGGACAGAGAACAGTTAACTCCCTAGAACTCCCAATTACTCTCTCTTCTAGAATAATTTAGATGTTAGAAGAAATTTATGAATTTTTCTCACACTTTCAAAATCATCTTTACATTTAATGACATAAACAAATATTCATTACTTTAACTATTAACATGTGACTTGAACACAAGACCTGAAACTGTAAAACTCCTAGACAACAACATAGGGGAAAGCTTCCTGTTATTAATCTTGGTAATGATACACGGGTATGATGGCAAAGACACAGCAACAAAAGCAAAAATTAATAACTGGGACTACATGATTATAAAGCTTCTACAGAGCTAAAGAAACAAACAACAAAATGAAAAGTCAACCAATAAATTGGGAAAAAATATTCACAAACTATCTATCTAAAAAAGTGCTATATCCAAAATACATAAGGAATTCATACAACTCAATAACATAATAACAAACAATCCCATCTTTACTTTTTTTCCAAATTATGCTTATTAAGTTAACGACCCCATTTTTTAAAAGGCGAGGGAACTGACATTTTCCAAAGAAGACAAACAAATGGCCAAGAGATACTTGAAAAGGTTCTCTACATCACAATCACAGGGGAAATGTAAATCATAACCACAGTTGGGCCTCATGAACACCTGCTATAATGCTGTCATCAAAAAGACAAAAGAGGGCCTCCCCTGGTGACCCAGCGGTTGAGGGCTGGGCTGCGAAGCTGCCTGTAGCCTCTGCAGCACTGGTTCAATCCCCGGCCGACACGGGAGAGGGTCCCAAATAGTGCGCAGACCTCACCTCCGCGCCCGCCGCTCCCCTCAGCAGTGTATTTCAGTCCACCTGCCTGTTCTGTTTCCTGCTCTGGCTCTGGTGAATTCTCTCACCCTCCCACACTTATGACTGTACCCAGTGCTTGTATAAACAAATAAATAAATCTTTAAATAAAAAAAAAGACAAAAGATAGCAAGAGTTGTGAGAATGGCCCATATTGTGAAGACCAGACAGTAAGTGTTGACAAGCATGTGAAGAAAAGGGACCCCTCCTATACTGCTGGTGGGAATGCAGACTGGTCCAGCCTTTATGGAAAGCAGTATTAGGTGTTTCAGAACAATTAAAATCGATCCATCATTCAAGCCAATAACGCCACTCCTGGACATCTACCCAAAAAATTCAAAAACATTAATTTGAAAGGAAACTTGTAACACAGGTTTATTGCAGTGCTATTTACTATAGCCAAATTATGGAAATCATTTAAGTATCCCAGGAGAGATGACTGGATCAAGAAGGTACGGTATATATACACAATGGAATATTACTCACCACTCAATAAACGATAAACTCATGCCATTTGTGGCAACATACATTGAGCTGGAAGGGATAATGCTAAGTGATATAAGTCAGAGGAGAAGGATAAATAATGGATGGTGTTACCAATATGTGGAATACAGAGTAACTAAACTAAGGGTGAGATAAAGACAAGCTTAAAAATGAAACACTGGAAGCTGATTACAGAACTGAAGTAACCAGAGTGGGAAGAGGTGGGAAGAGACAAGAATATAGAGGGAAGGAAGCAGAATGGACTACAGTGGTGGACTATGGGTGATTTGGTTGTGGGTGCATTATGGTAGTATTACCCAATAGGAGTATTCAAATATCATCTCAATTAAAAATTGGGTTTTGAAATAAATAGAATAAAATTAAATCTACTCTTCTATTAAAAAAAAGAATTGTTGGAGATATGGAGTAAAGGGAACTCTTATGTTGTAGGTGGAAATATAAATTGGAAAACACTATGGAACTTCCTCAAATATATTAAAAAGAGAACCTCTACATTATGCAGCAATCCCATTTCTGGGCAAATATCAAAAGGAAATAAATCAAAGTATCAAAGATATATTCATTTCCACATTCACTGCAACATTATTCACAATAGCCAAGATATGGAAACAATTATATCCATCATTGGAAAAACATAGATGATATAAAAGAAGGAAACCGCCATTTGCAAAAACATGGATAGACCTTGAGGGCATGCTAAAGATGACACAATATTGGTCAACACACACCCTTTAAATTCATTAAAAAAGAACTCCCATTCCCACAGATAAACTAACAAAGTTTTCAAGGGATTCTTGCAAGACTGTTTAACAGTTTCTAAATGCTTGAAGAGGAAATTTAAAAGTACTTGGTAAGTACTTTTTTGACCTGCTAACCAAGAATCAGGGCGGGCTCCTGAGAAAAGCTTTGACAAGGGACAGTACCTGCCACTGACCATGAGGATCATTATGTGTGTCCAGGGTGCATGACAGAGACGAAGCCACAGGAACAACTGAGCAGTTTCACTCTCAAAAGAGGTTAAAACTGCTCCAGAAATAGTTCACTAATCAGAAGAACTTGCAGTTTTGAAAGACCTCATAATTTTCATTCCATTCAGAATGGGGAAATATAAATATGCATACAAATATAAATATAAATATTTCATTCTGAATGGGGAAATACTCAGAATAGGGAAATATAAATCAATAGAATTGATATAAGTCAATAGAATTGATATTTTTAAAGGAGCAAATGTGTCCAGATCCTCAGTTTATCTCAGAGACACCATCCCTGATCTTTTCCTCTACTTCTGCATTGTTGCATGTAATGAGTCTACCTTCCAGCGAACCACATTTCCAAGACATTTCTGGACGAAGCAGGACCCAAAAAAGCAGGTCAGGTTTGAAGCTGTCACAATACGAAAAAGATGGAAGGAAGCTTCCAGTTACATTACAAGCAATAGTCACATCACAAGTCACCACGTGAGGCTTAAACATACATAACCATGAAGATGCATCCCTGAAATTTATATAGTTGTATATATCAATGATAATAAAAATTTTAAAATTAAAAAAAAGTCACCTGCACAGGAGAGAGTTGACAAGGATGAGTAACCTATTCCTCCTCCCCCGTGAGCTTGGTCAGAACAGAACTTGGCAAGCGTAACTGCTGAAATATGTGAACTAGGCCAGAGAACCTTACAAGGGCTGCTACATACTGATTACTGATCGAGCAGTGTTTTGAGCAGGATCTGTTTAGGCATAGCAAATCTGAAGTATAATATATAGACTACAGGATACAGGCAATACTGCTAAAGAATAAAAAAGGTAAGTTAAAAAGATAGTGACCACATATAAACTGAAAAATCCCAAGCATCTAAGTACTGACTGGTTCCACATAAGTCTTTGCCCCATTTTTTAAAAGATAAGAAATCATTCCAGTGCTGAGAGGGAGAGAGGAACCATGTCTGACCAGTTTGGGGTCAAAGATATTGCATATGTGTGTTTATTATCCTTTGCTAACTGGGAGTAAATCATGTTCTGGTTAAGGTTCTGCCTCAAATTACTTGTATTCAACATCACTGAGACAGAATCTTAACCAGCACATGACTTACTCCCAGTTTTATAGCAGCACTATTTACAATAGCTAAGCTATGGAAGCAACCCAAATGCCCAAAAATAGATGATTGGATCAAGAAGATGTGGTACATATACACAATGGAATATTACTCAGCAATCAAAAAAGATAAACACATGCAGTTTGCTGCAACATGGATGGAGCTAGAAGGGATCATGCTCAGCGAAACAAGTCAGAAAGAAAAAGAAAAATACCGGATGGTCTCACTCATAGCAGGAATTTAGAAAACGTAAATGAGAGACCAGGAAAAGGACTAATCAATACAAAGTAAAAATCAAAATCAACAAGCAACTATAAACCAGAGACACACTGCGGGGGTGGGGAGGAGGGGTGGGAGAAGGAAGGACTAGAGTCAAAATAAGGGGGGTGGTGCAATTGTATGGGGAATATAACCAAAATGAAAATGCATACATTGTGCAAAGATGAAAAATGATGTAAGAATTATATAAAATAAAATATTTAAATAAAAAAAAAAAATTCTGTCTCATATCAGTCTACCACATTTTGAGTCTGTTCACTCAAAAGCTGAGTCAATGGTGTATGCCCATGGGTCCTCAGAGGGCAAAGGGATGGAAGGACCCATGAATTGTTGAGGGCCTAAGGATAGCACAGAAATCTAGATATTGAAAAATTTAGCCAAGCCAGTCCACAGTTGTGGGTGAAAAATCAAAAGGAAACAGGTCAAATATTTTTGGTAGATTTTACACAGCACTCAATCTTTTAAACAAAGAGAGGGGGGAGAATTTCTGGACCCTGTTTAAAACATGTTACAGGGGCCTCCCTGGTGGCTCAAGGGTTAAAACGCAACCTATGAAGCTGTCCGCAGCCACTACAGCACGAGTTCAATTCCCAGCCAGCCAGGGAGTAACCCACATGGCGCAGCAGACTTCTCCTGCTGCTCCCCTCAGCAGTGTATTTCAGTCAGTCTGCCTGTTCTGTTCCCCACTCTGTCTGTAGTGAGTCCTCTCACCTCCCCACCCCCACATCTCTGGCCTGTACCCCAGCTCTTGTACGCATAATTAAATAAATCTTTAAAAAATAAATAAAACATGTTATAGGATAATACTGAACTTATTGGATTTGGTTTGTTTTTTTTTTAAAGATTTGATTTATTTATACAAGCACTGGGTACAGTCAGAAGCACAGGAGGGTGAGAGAATTCACCAGAGCCAGAGAGGGGAACAGAACAGGCAGACTGACGAAATATACTGCTGAGGGGAGCAGCGGGCGTGGCAGGATAGGTCTGTCGCACCATGTGGGACCCTCACTGGCAGCCAGGGATCGAACAGGCACTGCAGAGGCTGCGGGTTGCTTCACAGCTCAGCGCTCAACCACTGCGCCACCAGGGGAGACCCAGGATATGGTTTCTTTAAAAAAAAAAAAAGATGTATTCATGCATACAAGAACTGGGGTACAGGCCAGAGGTGTAGAGGGGTGAGAGGATTCACCAGAGACAGAGTGGTGAACAGAACAGGCAGATCTACTGAGATACACTGCTGAGGGGAACAGTGGGGAGACAGGAGAGGTCTGCTGCA